AATATTGATGTCAGCGAAGTGTTGAGTTTACCACCATTAAACATCACTTGATGTTTTAATTATTTAATAGCAATTTGGGTTTCGATCACATCATGCTTTATACGCGGTCAATTAAAAATTAATGGGGTTGCATAATTTAAATATCGTTGATATTACAATATTATTCCGCTTTTCGTATATATTTTTATATAGAAAGTTTTGCTTTATTTAGATCTACTACATCTGTTGTATTAATAATTTGGAACCTTTGATTGTTGTTGAAGTTTATTAAATGCAACATTGAGTTATTTATTTTTTTACTACTTGACTGTGCTAAGAATTAAATAAAATACTCAAAATATTGAGTTCGTCAGTCGATTGTGTAATAACAAGATTAAAGTAAAGTTAAACAAATTCGTGATATTAAAACCAATCAATGCATACAATGCATTGAACAAACTTGATCGCCAGTATTACACAAACGTTCTTTCATTGCAAACTTAAAATAAAACTTATTTACAAAAAAATAAAACACAAATAAATCAAAATTTTCTAACCAAAAAATAGGTAAAATATGGCATCTCCTGCCTCAACACCGTCACCCGACACCCGCCACATCTCCGCCGCATTTCTTTCGGAAATGTGATTTGTATCTGTGTAGATTTGTTCAAGCGATCTTGATTGTTTCTTCCTGTACATCCGATAGACTTACACAGTACACCCAGCGGTAAAATTAAACTAAGAATATACTTCGGCAACATTCACACATTTACTTTTCGTTTATTTTTATAAAATGATGTTTCCAATTAAATTCGTTGGTCAAATTGTCTAGAGTTAGATTTGCTGGGTCAGACAAAGTATTATTAAGGATTTTACTTTTATCTACTCGTTACAATGACATATACACATAATAGTTTAATGCAATATAATTCAAAGGAACTTATATTTAAATTATTTGATATTGTTTCATGAAACGGAAGCCACGAAGCACTTAGTTTGGAGCGATTCAACAATTAATGGACTTAATTGATATTGACTATGTGTATATAGTGAGCGAGACTACTAATCAAACATCCGCATCGAGAATGGAAGGACCATGTTACAATGGAATCACTATGGAGCACCTTCATTGAATATTGAATATGTTCATGGTTCGTACATTATTAATTTAATATTAAAAATGTCAATTTCTAAGTATTTAAATTTATTATTAACAGAAAACAACCTTTTCTCAATGTTATTAAGGGTTAGGTGTTACGTTCATATTACCTAAACGTAACACCTCCTTTGAAGTTCTGATATATTTTACAAAAATTCTTAAATAGTACTGTACTGTCGTAAACATAGCCGTCCTGTTTTGAAATCACCACAATTATGCATTTTTCAATGGCGTCTACTACTACTAGAGACAGCGTCACGCCTACGTCCGCGTAAAAGAACAATAGTCTTTTGTGAACTTTACTTTGTCAATGACCCAGTCACACGTCGCGGTTAGTGGTCAAGGTAGTGTTCGCGTTTTACTCAATACATTTCTCCATCGTTTCGTCGTAGAACAAAAATTTCATCTTCAAAAATTACTGATATAAACCATTTGGTAAGAAAAAGTGCCTACTTCGGAATTACAATGTGAATTACAATGAAAAACGTATCGATGAATGTGTAAATATTATGTTCTGAACAAATTAGTGTAAGACAATCAAAGTGTGATTCAAAAATTGATACTTCATGTTTGGGTAATATGAAACGTGTTAATTTTTTAAACTCATTACGTTAACCTATCAATAATTATTATTACTTCGCTGACGTAACACACTTATCTAATGAGAAGGTGTTAATAAGGAACAATAAAAAGTACAGTAGCGTGTCACGTCATGTGTATGATTTACACTCGGTCCATATAGCATCCAGGTCCGCGCTTCATAAAGGCGTTACGGACGGACGGCTAGTTGTAGGTAAGGTTACAATGGGGGTGCAAATTTCACGCAACATTATGTCGTTACGGGGGCCAGTGGGGGCCACAGCAGCCGCGGCGGGCCGTGGCCTGTGAGCCGTGGCCGCGGGCCGGGCCATGCTCCAAGGCCCGCGCTCCCGCTGTCTGCCATGCAGCGAATCGATGCAGCTCCGCCCCCGCACCTGCCCGCCGCGCCAACTATGTTTTCACGATTTTCCTCGCCTTTTCCTACGAAACTTTACACATATCGTATTGAATTTACATGATAATTAATCAAGAGACAGAAGTTAGTGTGAAATTACTGATTATATTAGGATTTTCGAACGGTAGGTTGGTAATCGTTATTGATGACCTCTCTCCACCGTCCAACATCGGTTCTCATAAAGCCGGTCAATGACTTTGAATCCCGACATTTAGTACCTACCCACCTCCCTACTCATTGTTGTCTGAGTGAGCTCTATGTTTTCGGATTCATTTTTAACATCGTCAATAAGCAGATTCAGTAATCTCGTTATCAAACTAATTATACTGTTACAGGACTGACAATATCTATCGACTCAGTACCATCTAGTAAGTTAGTTCAATTTCAGACTTCCATATTCATTAACTGCAAGTACACGTCTAATCCTTTAGGGAAAGCAAAACTGAAAGTTAAGGTAGTTCGAATCTCAGCTATAGTTGAGCGCTACGACGAGGGAGCTATAATATTCCACTTGAAACTGACTCCTATAACTTCATGTTAACAAATAAAGCTAATCAATTATGAACTTCGATAGTAACCGACCACTAAGTAATATCCAATAGCGCGGACAATAGTTAATTTGTTCAATAATTACAATTGAAAGGCATTAATTTATTGGATTCAGAATTAATCTATTTTGTATTTCTAAACTAAGTATAATAGTCGTTTTTGAAGGTTATAATTATTTTACGTATCCTCTTTTATACGAACAATAGCAATACCAATTGAGATACTAATCTGTACAATTCCCGGTCGTTTAATTAAATAGAAACGACAACAGCATTTTATATAAAAATAAATTCATTAAATTATCATCTGTTAAAAGGGAAGACAGGTATACCAGAATATTTAGTTAGTCTGAAACACCTCCCTGTTTTAGAACTTAATTTGGATACAGGAATACAGAAAGTAATGACTGTATTTGGCGTAATTTTACGAGCGATGATAGATCATAGTGATCTATCATCCCACGTAAAACGTGACTGACGGCATGTTTACGTAGCAAAAGCCAATAGAAAGGAACGTTAAGGGCCGTTTTAGTATTTGGTGGAGTCCAGTTGTGCCGTGTTCTCTATACATATCATCATTTCTAAACGATCGAAATGGTTAGACCAGGCCTGTAGCTAGCTGTTGAAAGTAAAGTAACATTTATTAACCATACCTACATCGTTACACTACAAGGCCTTATATTTGAAATATACAGAATAGGTAAGCACGTATTTCATTTAATGCCACTTTACCAACACAAACTCACGTTGCTGTGTTAGAGCATTCATATCAAACTAATCAGTAAAAAGGTTATCACTTTGTACAACTTTAACATAATACATATATTAACACATAAGGTAGTTTTATGATAATTATTAGTAGTATTGTTTAAACATTACAATTCAAACAGCTATCTACCCAACTTTCGTTACTAAACCTACATTGGCTTGATATAATATTGAGTGCAAAATATGAGCAACATAATTAGAAAGGAGGTTTTCAGTTAAGACTGAAATCCAGGCGACTGGAGGCGTTCGCGCCAGTTCTCTCTGTAAATGGGTCAGAAGCTATTCAAGCTCACCCTGTGCGCCCCTTCCCCACAGTCTCGTCCCCTAACTGTGTGTGCCCCTTGCATAATTGAACACGAGGCAAATTATTGTCACGCCTGAATCGGCTGATATGAACGCTTACAATATTCTCCTTTCAAATCACAGTGAAAAATTCGTGGGGAAATTGCTAGCCGTAATTCCTTTTATTCCGTTTTTATTGTTCAACGCGCAGGTACGGCCTACATTCATTTTCCACTATTGTCATAAACTAATAACATAAACAAATATTCACGCAATGCCGGCAGGCGCTAACGTCTGTTTCGGCAGTTACATAGCTATAAATTAATTACAGTATTCATGAATATACGTGTATATGTTAACGCTTAGTTAAGTCGCGTGCCGTAGCAACGTAAATGTGTCAGTCATTTAAATCCATTGTACTTTAACCGCCTCGCGTCTGCAAGATTATATTTAATCAGGAAACATGATGTGGGATAAAGCAGACGGGGGGCGTCGTAATAAGTCACCATGTAAGGTATTTTCTTGCATATCTCTCTGAATTTACCTACTTGTTGAATTTGCCTTCGTTTGTTTGCATTAGAATACATAGTTACGTAACCCACCTACTGTGTGATACATTTGTCTAATTTTGACGAAGTTGCTTATTAAGACTTACGTACGAAATTCTGTTTTTTTTGGTGCATGGTACAGTTGAACCTGCTTCGATATTTTTTCGATACTTCGATATATAGTAGTATAAAACACCAGTATTCAATTTTAGACTATGTAATCAATTTGATAAGTTGGTACCTAAGTAGAGTACAAGACCAGCCCTTAGAATGGAGTTTATTACTTATTTAATTGGTACTGACATAGTTCAACAATTAGATTTAAGTGGGTCAAAGTGCAATGAGATGCTTATGTGCATATTAGGTAGGTACATATGTGACCGCCAATTTTGGCGCAGTTTCGACATAGCCATGTAAATTCCAACCATAAATGTTTTATATTGCCAAAATTAAATAATTAAATAGGTACCTATGTACGTTCATAGTCCACAAAAGAGAAAAAAAATTTAAATATGCTACTGTAATGAAATATTTATCAGGACATTTGTCTCTCAACTCAGCAACTTAGCAATAAAATAATGCCATACTGCGTAAAGAAACAGTTAAATTCGAAAATCGAATTATTTTTTGATCGTTGACCTCACCCTACTAAATCTAATATTCCGTCAAGATTATATTCCGCTGTAAAGAATTCTAACATGAAGATTTTGGTGTGTTTGCAGGCCGCGGTGCCAGAAGGTATGACATTTCCGGGTCCGCTGCCGGATGTAGCCGAGCGGTGCGGGCGCTGGGCGCCTGACTCGCTATCGGCCTCGGCATCAGGCAGCTCCGACGAGAAGACTGTCCCGCGCCGGCCGCGCTGGCGTATCGCTTTAGCGGCACTGGTCGTGCTGGCCGCGCTCGGTGCCGCACTAGCGTTACCGCTGGCACTCGGTGGTGGTGGCCGTGCCACTCCAGAACAACGACTAACCACTATACGACGCATGCTACGAGACTCGCCACTAGTTGACGGACATAATGACTTAGCATGGAATGTTCGAAAGTTTTTACATAATAAAATTGGTGACTTTAATTTGAGTGCCGGTCTAGATGGAATCGAACCTTGGGCGCGGTCGCGCTGGTCGCACACGGATATCCCGCGCTTGAGGCTCGGCCAAGTCGGTGCCCAGTTTTGGTCAGCATATGTGCCATGTGGAGCTAGAGATCGTGACGCAGTTCAACTAGCGCTCGAACAAATGGACGTTATCAAGCGTATTGTAGAATTGAATGCGGCGCATTTGGCGCTTGTTACCGATGCCGGGGAACTTTTGGACGCTCACCGTGACGGTCGCATCGCCTCCCTTATAGGTGTAGAAGGTGGACACGCTCTTGGCGATTCGCTTGCAGTTCTGCGAGCCTTCTATCAACTCGGTGCTCGTTATCTTACAGTGACACACACTTGTGACACAAGATGGGCACGAGCTGCAGGTACGGCAGGAGGACTCAGCGAATTCGGAAGGGCTGTCGTCAGGGAAATGAATCGACTTGGTATGATAGTAGACTTATCGCATGCGGGGGAAGAAACAGCACGCGATGCTTTAGAAATGTCACAGGCGCCTGTAGTATTTTCGCATTCAGGAGCAGCAGCTCTCTGCAACTCCAGTAGAAACGTTCCGGATGACTTACTTCGCATGATTGCCGCAAACGGTGGCGTCGTTATGATAAATTTCTATGCAAAACTAGTAACTTGTGGTGAGCGAGCCACCTTAGAAGATGTGGTGGCACATATAAACCATGTACGGAGGGTCGCTGGCGTGGAGCACGTCGGTTTGGGTGCTGGATACGACGGCATTGACGCGCCACCCGAGGGGTTGGAGGACGTGTCGCGGTATCCGCACTTGCTCGCGGAGCTGCTGCGCGACCCAGACTGGAGCGAGGAAGACGTGCGCAAGCTGGCCGGCATGAATGTAGTGCGCGTTCTGCAACATGTGGAGCGTGTGCGCGACCAGTGGCGACGTGCCGCCGTGCTCCCGGGCGAGGAGACGGCGGGAGCGCGTCGCGGCGATTGCGTGTACGGGCCGGCGTGACGTAGGCTACGAGCCGCGCGCTCCCGCGGCCCCCCTCGTACTGCTCAATATTGACACTTGTTGAACGTAGTTATACATGTATATTAGTGTCCAAATGTGATTTAGCGATTAAAGTAATCTCTACCTGACCTCGATGCACAAATTGTTTAGCTAAGGAGCCGCGTGCGCTGGGCGCTTCGTCTCGGCGTCGCGCGTGTCGGCTGCGGTTTACCCGCTGAACTCTTCTCCATCCATGCACTCGACTTCGTTGACGAAAGCCCAATGCGATCCGCGATTTATAAAAAATGTCAACAATTGATGATATAAAAGAATAATGTGTTTATAGAAAAATAAATATTCTTTATTTATAATAAAAGTTATTTTTATTATTAACACATTTATTTATTAAGAAAATAAATTCAACTACCTGGGTACTTAGCTCAGAAGTGTTTGTTATTATATTTGTGTTTGTTATTACACTTAGATCATTTATTTTATATTTCCCTTTCTTACATTTCTATGGAAAAATAAAGAACCAAACGAGGAGATATTTAAGCAATCGTCGCCACCCATGATCACACATGTAACATCAAAGGAATTACAAGAGTGTTGCTGGCCTTTGGAAGGGGAAGGATGAAGGTGTAGGCTACGGCCTCCGGTAATCTTACACACGGGACAAAACACAACGCAAGTATTTTTTCAAGCCAGGTTTCGGTGAAGGGTATCAGCCCGGTAGATCTTGCTCATTCGTGACGATGTGAATACAACTCTTCGTTGTGAAACATCCTTTCACATTCCGAAACTACATATACCCGAACTAAATATAGAAAGGCATTGCGTCTTTTTTTTGTTTTCTTTTTAATCAAGGACGTTGAAAAAAAGGCGGACATTATGTCACTTACAAATGATTGAAGCACTAAAATGTCAGTAGGTTATTAGGAACAGGTAGACAATGAGCCACCACAGTACCTACGAGAGACCGGCTTATTGCAACCACTGCGTTTCACAATCATGGTGTTCAGTATTTCTATGAAAAATTCAATGTTTATTTGGAAATCAATCTGAGATATGTATAACGATACGCTAATCAAAAACAAAAAGCTTCATTAAACAGTAGGAATTAAATTCATATAAAACTTGTGATTCTACCGAAGTTCTATTAAATTATTATTTATTCTGGTATCCAGGATTTCTTGATATGTCATGATTATGTCACTGTCAAGCGTCAGTGTCAAAACATGTTTCAAATGGTCAAATTACTAAAGTCAACGAAACTAAACGTAGTAAAGTAAACGCTAAACGCCAGTCAGTTTAATGTCACTGCTGCTATCAGTGTACTGTAAATACGTATTTTTTTAATAAATGGTGTAAATGGTTATTAAAACAGACGTGTAACAAAAGAAAAACAGTGCTTTCAGATTTGTGTTGGAAATTACAATTAAGTAACTAGTGTCAAGTTGAAGTTGAAGGATTCAAGTATATATTTGCCTGATTGAAGGTAAGTTGAGAAAAATTTAATGTATAATTATTGTTTCTGGAAAACTGTAGGTAATAACCAAGTATTTGTGATCATTGAACGCATCTTGCACGTTAATTCATGAACTTCCTCGTATTGCATGCAGCGTTACCTTGACTGGAGATGGATCCTAAGCAAGGTTGGTTTACGCAGCTACATTATCATAGCTAGTGTTTTCGTTTTATGTTATAGATATCATAAACAAACACGCTAATACACATATCCTCATAAAATTTCGAGCATAGCAAACACTATCATTTGTGTATTTTACCTGCACATTAAGTTGTGGTGTGTAAGTTAGTAAAACGTTTTGGTTGTGGCTTATTGTGTACGTAATAAATATAGTTTAAACAGGTTGGTATCAAACAACTTAATTAAATGTATTCTCTTCCAATACAATACTTAGAATAACCTAAGCATTCGGTTTTTGTAAAAAAAATATCTAAGGTCATACAAATTAAGTACCTAATATGTTGAGGTATTTTTTAATGATATGTATTTCTACAGATTCATGCATTTGAAAGTAAAGCTTATTTTATTAATTTTTTGTTTAAAATAATAAAATGTTAATAATTTTAGCCCAGACAGTCAACAATGAATCATACAATTTCTTGTTCGTATAGTTTTTACTTTGTAGTTCTATGTTTTATGAACAATGCAAAATGTAGGTGCACTCTAACTAGTGTGAATGTCAATTTTCTTAATCTGTTTGTTAATGGTACTTGATATTTTTTTTAGATACATTTAATGAATCTGTGTCGACAATAATAGAAAGAAAAGTAAGAGGTTGGTTAAGTGGAGTGATTGACGACATGCGGCGAAGTAGTCCAGTGCAACAGTGGCTGGATTCCCTGCCAGCTGACGAAACAGTCGCACCCGAGGACACTAGTGAAGAAGTAAAGATCTCAGAGCCCAAGTCTGATGACAATGATAGCAAAGCAGATGAAACAGTAACTGAGAACACAGTAATAGAGCCTAATAAAGAAGAGCTCCAAGATGATCAGAACCTAGAAGTTCCTTTAAAAGAAGCCTGGAAAAGGAAGTCACTTGATAGTGGGTTACTAACTAGCACACCTCAGCGAACTAATGTTAAACGACTACAACGGGACCATTCAATACAATCAGAGGGATACTCCCCCAAGTTTAAGAATCCATTGTTTAGAGACCATTCTTTGCAGGTAAGTTTCAATTTTATTTTATAGTTCATAGTGCATAATTTGCCATGAAAGATATATGTTTTGTAAGACTGATCAAATTTTGTTTGCTTTAACAGTCTGATAATAGTGGCTCAAGTGGAAGTTCAGTTTTAAATGTGCTAGGAGCACGAAAAGTAGATGCTGAGTCAGTACTGCTTGCTCTAGGCTTTGGGCCAAGTGAAAAGCAGCAAAAATTGCAAAGAATACCTGACAGATTTTTAGCGCCTTCTAAAGTGAGTACATTTATTTATTATTATTTTTACTTTCCTGAAATATGGCTGAAATATTATAAACATGAAAACTTATAGAAAAATATAATTATATCACATTACAACTTCATTAGCGACCATCTCTTTCACCCCAATAATGAAAGACTACTCAGTTTTCAGTCATACTTAAATATCATGGCTTCACTTAAGTAGCCTTTCAGTTTCAGGTGTGTGTTACAATTTATTTAGTCATAGATATAAGAGATTGGGTACATTCTTTTGAAGAAAAATATTAGCTATTTGTATTACATAGATTACTGTTTTTACAGCTCAAAGGTATTAGCACAGAAGATTTTATAAAAAAAGAGCAGCATTCAATGCGTATGCACGATTGTGGTATATTTGGATATAGAGGTCTTACCGGTAAGTTTCAGCCATTCACATTTTGTGATGGGGGTACCTTTATGAACAGGATAATAGTCATTCTTTGAGGATTTTGTAAGCCAAATTCAATTCCCCAAATTTTTTTGCAGTTTTAAGTAGTACTGCAAAAACATATAACACTATTTCATTATATTTGCGTCATCAAACAAGACATCTTATAAATTAAGCGTCGGTGACGTCATATATTGTCGTATTTGTGAAAACAACCATATGGACCTAATTACTATCTCAGTTCCGTCTAACAGTTGGTTTTTACGTAATTTGGCAATAAAAACTTAATTGAATGACTCACTAACATGTTTTAATATTACAATCAGCTTTGGCAAATTATTTATAAATTTACTCTCGGGGATAAACATTTTCCATTAACATTGCGGACTTGGAACACAGGGCATTGCCTTGCTAACATTGTCACAGAATATTAATGTATATAATACATAATAATAATTATGTAAATTACTTAATCTTGTTATATTATTATTGTATTAATAACAATCCGGATTATGTGAGCTATCCAACTCGTCTGGTAACCTATACCTACGATATTAATAATATGGTTTATGCATTTAATTGAATAAATACCTACTCGATGAAATTAGGTCATTTCTACGCGACTACATTTTTAAGAGTTCTAAAATTAAGAAAATATTGGTTTTCAAAACGAGCATTTTAAGACATTTAGGTAATAGGTCCTAATCCTTACGCATCTACATAATTATGTAGTTTAAACGAAGGTAGGTAATATTGTTGTTGTACGACATTGGTCCGCACAGTAGCGTCCACGATGGCTCACCTAATCTAATACTTGTATATATATAACTTTATAATATTATTGTTAAGTTTCCTGTAATTTTTGGTGCTGGAATTAATACTAACAATAATAACAATCTCATCAAATGACTAACAGAACACTGCACGCCTGTATGCCGCTTTATGAAACCCGTTTCTCCGAGTTGTCATAGATCATATCAAGTTCCCGAGATTGCAGTGCAGTAAGTACCTAGCATTATGTGTGGTGTCTGTGTATTTAATTACGAGAATATTTCACAATATTTAAATTTTCTGAATCCAGCACTAATCATACATATATCATCCGTTAAAAAATCGTACACGACTAACTGATATACAATGTATGTAGCTATTAAAAACTTGACTAATTGAAAAAGAAAGATTAGTAGAAGTTCAACTTATGGGGTGTTAAAACCAGGGGCTGTTGATTGAAATTTAATGTTTTTAGCAAAATTAAGTAAAATTGAGATATTTATTAAGTTCTCATTTATATTAAGTAAAAAAATCGTAACTAAACCATCATGATTGTTTACCGCTTCGAGGAATAAAAGGTGTGATGTTATATTTTCTAACTGCTTTCACCATAATTTGAATATCTAGCGTCTTATCCGGTTTCAGGGAATCCTCATGTTCCACCGTCGACAATTGTAGCTAAAATAATTGGATGCATTCTACAAGACGAGGTATGTCGTGAAGAGGCGTTAATAAAATCCAGACACTCGATAGCGGACATGCGAACTCAACCTAACCTCAGTGCAATCCTCGCCGCGCGTATGCGCCACAACTAACTAGGTAAACAAACAAGAACGTGACCTCACCTACGTGTAAACAACACCTCAACTCGAATTATAAGCACATTATTTAATTCGTGGTGTAAAAATATCGGTTGTTAAATAAGCAATGCAATCCCCAATGTAATTCCCAGTATAAGCTCAAAATTATTCGCTCAACATGTTGTTATTGGTGAAGGGATAACTAATTTAATTATATTTATGTGTAAAAACCTAAGAAAAGACTTATACCATTGAATGGAACATTTCTGAAATAATCCTGACTGTTAATTACAAAACCAAATCACAGTCTGTAATAAACCTAAGGTTTTAAGAATTTTAATAGCGTTAAAGATCCGATATTTTAAAGAGAATCTAGATCTTATTTCTTGTACTACATAGAATTAGGGATCATAAATTTTTGACAAGTTTTAAAATAGTAAAAGTAGTCGGATGTAATGTAATATCACCTCCTTATAATATTCTAAAATATAGATATTTATTAGAATTATTAGAAGTCAATAAAATCTTAATAGAAATAAATTTATAATTTCCTATGACTATTTCTGAGCTTATTGTACATAACTTTAAATTCTACGTATTTAATAAAACAACTTACGTAATGTTAAGCCAAATGTTATTATTGATTGTACTTATCGCTTCATATTCATGACGTAGGTATAGTGCAATGACTACTATGACTATTGCTTGTTTAAATCCTAGATACTTATGGGTCATATCAAACTTGCCTGACTTAAAAAAAACCAATTTACCTAAGTGTTTTGTGATAGTGATGTAAATAATGTTATGTTCTCTTATTGTAATTATTGGTATTTATTTCTAAAAATCTATTGCTATTTCTATAATTATACTTCAATGAGTTACTATTATGACAAATGTATTCAAAATGTTAATTTAATTATAATGCATTTTATCTTCTGTAGATATTAGTAAAACAAAGCTTTTATCGGCATTGCGGTGAGATATAATCTCAGTGAATTTCGTGATGTAATTGTGACTCGAATGGTTATATATATTTTATTGTTTGTTATGTCAATTGGCAATTATTTTGTGAATTAATTTAGAGTAGGTAGTCATTAGTCATACTAACAGATGAGAGTTTACTTGAAACACAACAATTAAATCTTGGAAAGAATTTAAAATATCGCTGGCCCAGTTCAAGTAAATAAATTACGTACCTATGTGTAGTTACTTAAAATCTTGAACTAAAAGGTAACTTGAGCAGTGCGAAGAATGTGAAGACCTTTTAATGCCTATAATAATATTATACTGTTGGAAGCAAGTATCATGGAGGTGTGGTAAAATATGGCCTCCCCTTTGCGGTTTGCCCTTCATACCAAAATACTTACTAGTTATGACTTATAGTGAACAAAATATTATTAATAATCTGTTGTTTTAGTTCGTATTATTTCCTTATTCGAATATGTTAATGACTTAATATGAAAAAAGATTTTATTTACTTGTGCCTTATATAAAAATCGGTACTGGTTGCATAATTTAGGGTAATTCAAATCATTCCTATTTAAATGTGCATTGCAATTCGACGGTAAATATCAATGTTAAGCCTATGATAATTACCATTGCTGTGTTATTGTACTAAGCCAAAGCTTTTAAAGTCATTTAAAGTGATTAAATGGGATTCTAAATTGATCAATTAATCACTTTGAAGGAATTTAAAACAACATTCCTAAGAATAAAATGTTCAGGAAGTAAAATGCGGTGTTGATAGAAGCGTTTAGGTAATGAAATCTAAATATATAATTTATTAATGTTAGAACAATTTATGTGTAAGTAAAGAGTTCCGCTCACTTCCTGAAGCCAAGGTCTGTAGATACACTGGCCTTAAATTATTGTGATGTGGTTAATGTGACCTGATCCTTATGTCATATTATTTTTGCTCATTAAATTAGGTACTTAACTGTTTGAATTGTATAATTTGAAGATCTGAATATGTATGTGAGTGTGTGGGATCAATTGTAAAGTGAAACCTAGTAAACTACTATTTTCTGGAACGTTTTGTTTTTGTTTATTCATTAGCCGCTAAAAATCTAGCTAGCTTTCGATCGACCAACTGATTGTTACAATTTAGTCTCCTAACAGAAAACCAGATGTCTGTATTGTACGGTAGGTACCTTTAGGTAATGAAGTCTGTTAAAAATAACTTTGAATTTACGCTTCGACTAAATATAATACTTATCAGCGGATGCGGTGTAGTCATTATAAGTATATTGTTCGTCCTTAAATTAGAACAGGATACTTTATCATTAGGTACGTGTTTATTTAATATGACATACATAAGCTAAATATAGGTAGGTACGTAGGTAGGTATCTACTTATGAATAAGTAATTGTCTTCTTAGTAAAACGTTAAAGTGTTGTACCATCCTCCAAATAATCCCCGTCTAATGCAATATTTTCTAAATTCGTCGAAAGCAAACATAAGGGCACAAAATGGCAATGCAAGGAACCACCTGCGGACGTTTTCCTTATAAATATTACCTACGAATACTACTAATACTAGTAATATGTTGTTTTAACTAGTTAATGCTTACCATCTTAGTTTAAGAGGATATGTTCGGAAAAAAGTATTCAATCCCGGAGTGTAGCAGATAACACATGACAATAATAGCTCAAAAACAATTCCAATATTTAAAATTTTGTTCTTCATTCCTGGAAATTGCCGACAGAAATCATTTTGATTGCGTTATCTAAAAATTAATGGATCTCAACATTGGCAGGGGCCCAACATTTAATTATAGAAGTTCCATTAGTCTTACCGACATGAAACAAAGAGTTATATCTGGTCTTGCAAATGACGCCATTGATCATCTGCATGAGTACCACGGCTACGAAATAAGCCGCCTGCGCCGCTTGCTCCACCTCCTTGCGTTCTAGGTACGTCCACTCTTGGCCCAAGGAATCTGTTACATCGCTGACCGCCTCATTATCCCACTTTTGCCTTATCCCTTAAATAGTACTTTTCATTAATTTAAACAGGTGTCAATCGGAACTTTTACATCAATAGGCATCTATGTACTCACCGAAGAGATGATTAGGGTAGAATCCAAATTCTGCCATTACAATGAAATAAGCATACATGCCGGCTGCAAACTCTATGAGGCCCAAGTGCAAGTACACTAATCTTAACATTTGCGGCGTGACGAGAGGGTCACGGACGTGAGCAGGTCGCGTCATGACGTCAGATTCAGCGCGTTCATATGACAGCGCCACAGCAGGCCACATGTCTGTGCCCAAGTCTACGCACAATATTGTCATCACGCCTTCAACAACACAATCATTTTTAATGTTCCATTTGACTAATAAACATAATAGGAATATAAACAAAATTTTGAAGTCAGTACGTGAAGTGCGGCTCTTACCCAATGGTAAAGGGATGGCAAACAGGATAAACATGAACACTGGAGCTATTTCAGGCACATTAGAAATTAATATGTAGCAAACAGATTTTTTAAGGTTGTCAAAGATCCTCCTCCCTTCTTCGATACCAACGATGATGGTCGCGAAATTATCGTCCATCAAAATTATATCAGCAGTTTGTTTCGACACCTGTTTCAATAGCGAGATATCATTGATTTACTCTTACCTGAATGCAGTAGGTACCTACTTAATCTAATTAAGTTTTTACCTGTGACCCGGTAATGCCCATGGAGATGCCGATATCAGCTCGTCTAAGCGCGGGAGCATCGTTAACACCATCTCCAGTTACTGCCACGATTGCGCCTTCACGTTGACAAGCTTCCACTATTTGAAGTTTTTGTGTGGGAGAAGTTCTAGCAAACACTTTGCAGAAGAGAGGAAACGTTAAAATATTTTTAAATAAGTAGGTAGGTAAGGGTTTTGGTACGTAGTTAATAAATTATTACCAATTTCGTAATGTTTATCGAGTGTCCAGTGTAATAAATCTGGGGTCATGTTTCTTAGTTCGTTACCGGTCACAACATGACAATTTGCACTTGTGGCAATCCCGACTTTTAGAGCTACAGCGCGTGCTGTGGTCGGGTGGTCGCCGGTAATCATCATCACACGTATGCCAGCATCACGGGCACGGGCTATTGCAGAACGCACCTGGTAAAAAGCACAATGTACCAATTACCAATGCCAATTTACAAAAAAAATGTTGTAGCAAAAGTTTTTAACAAATTCAAGCAGTATTTTAGCGCCATTTGGTAAGCACAAAACGACAGTCCCTCTAGAGCTAACCTCCTCCCGAGGTGGGTCCATAAGTCCCATAATTCCAAGTAGGCGTAGGTTCTCCAGTGGGAAGTTAACATCATCGGTGTCAAATGAATAGTTCAGAGGAAATTGTTTTGAATTAAGGATGAGATCAGCAAAAGCCATGATTCTTTCACCTTAAAAATAATTACAGGTAGTGACATTGTCAGTTAAATGATCAAATTAAAACAGAATACGATGTCTACTTTATACTTACTAACCAGTTTTTGCCAAATTTTCAATAACAGTGTCTGCTATTCGTTTCATATCGTCTGTAAAAATAATGTCTTTGGTATCGGTGGCCACAGTGAGACATCGCGCGAATATAATCTCCGGCGCTCCTTTCATCACCACAATAAATCGTGCTCCTGAAGCTTCAAAATGAACACTGACCTACATTTGAATAAATAGCTTACGTCATCCAAGATTTGAATATTTTATGCCTATTTGGATGTCTTTCTATAATATAGACCTAACTAATATCTTATTTAATATCAGTTGTAGATGTAGAGTCGTCCTTACCTAGGCGTAAGTCCTTACCTATGAGGAAAAAATAAATGTAGACCTTATTTAGTAATTCTTGCGACGTCTTGTTGGATTTTTCTGCCGGAAAATGTCCCCACAACCAGTTTATTTATGAGCAAGGAACTGAGCGTTTGCGCTGCATGCATTTACATGCAATACAAGCTTTCGAGTCCAGTTCCATGAATTTGGTAAATGGCAATGTAGGTACAATGCGACAAGAAAATGTTTTCAAATACCTAATTATTTAGAACTTGATAGGCATTTAGGTAAACCACCTATTACATATGAGTGACTGCCTCGTTGGCCGAGTGGTCGCAATTGCGACTGCCGAGCAAGGGGTCTCGGGTTCGATTCCCGGGTCGGGCAAAGTATTACTGGGTTTAAAAAAAAAAAATCTCAGTAGTAGCACGGAGTCTGGAACTGTGCCCGGTATATGGCAATAGGCTCACCCCTATTACATGGGACTCATAACATAAATAGTGAAAAGTGGGTGTTACATTGTACAGTGGTATAATGTGCACCTCTGCCTACCCCTTCGAGGATAAAAGGTGTGATGTTATGTTACATATGAGTGGGTACCAAGTTTCATTGAAATCGGGACCTATTAAAGTTTCCATGAATTGAGACTTGCAAAGTTTTTTATTGTAAGCCTAAGTCGCATAAACGCGCATGTGATAGATAAATGCAAGAGTGATTTGATTTGTTCTCTTTATAACATAACATTCTATAACATTTCTAATTAATTTCTGTGCCCTTGTGGGACTAAACGGATTTGAGGGCAACATAACACAGATGTCCCAATCCTGAGTGTGTCTCTCCTGAGTCCTGACATTATACGTAGGTAATTTGCTCCGTACCTACTCATTTAGTGTCTAAACAATTGTGTGATGTAACTACAAAGCTATTCAGTCTCACCTGATATTTATTTGCTGAATTAAAAGGTATTTCAGCGATTTTTGGATAATTTTTCCTTATAGTAAGAGGATCGTTTTGTTGGAAAAGAAAGTTTAGAATTGCGATTTCAGACGCGTCTCCACGAATTCCACCGCCAATCTTGACGTCAGCGTTACTGCATAACGCTCCACAAATCTTTAAATAGCTGTAGGCTAAAAGAAATAGAACATATACACAGGTAATATATTTTAACTTCAGTTTAAATAATCTATGCGTAGATAATAGATGAATGATACCTAGTTAGTATGTATTGTTATCATGACTGTATTGGGAAGACTGAGGGTACGCAGAATTGCTACGATTCTTACACCCCTTTTTACATTCTCAGTTTCATACTTATTTTCAATAGCTATTAAACAGTTGAGGTGCCCGTTATTTTAGCAAACGCAATTTAAAATTACGTAAGTAACTACTTGGACAGGTGTACCCTTGATAATGGGTTAATTAACCCTTTGAGTACTGTCATGATAGACACAATTAAAGAACAATAGGTTGCGGTCACTGGGGTCCTCGCGGTGTTTGACAGTTGAATTAGCATCATCTTTTAATAAACCTTCGATTTCCAACCAGACTGCGAATCGTAGAATTTGTGGCAAACCCTTATGCCATGGCCAAGCAGTATAGAATGTCTAGTCTGGGGCTATAGATGATTAAATTAATATTTGTTTTTATCTCACCATTATTATTTTGCACCGCGCCTGCAATCAAAGTAAACAAACTGTTATCAGTAGCCTAGTGGAGGTAGATAAAGGGGTTAATTAATGGGAGCTTATTGTGCTACACGTCTACTAATTAAACAAAGTTTAAATATACCTACATACGCTACACTAAATAAATAACTACTAGTATGAATCTAGATTCGTAAGTAAGCATGTAGTGATCGTGTTGTCTTACTATTAAAGTCTGAGCCCATTACGGAATGTACTTTGTTCCATGTCCAGATATGATGCACGACCATCTTATTCTCAGTCAGAGTACCAGTCTTATCGGAACATATAACCGTGCAGGCACCTAAAGCCTCTACAGCGTCCAAGTTCTTAATCAAGCAGTTCTTTTTTACCATGCGCTGGGCTGTTATTGTCAGGGACGCTGTTATTGTTGGTTGCAAGCCTTAAATAATAATCATTTTTAATATACACAAAGGACGCAAATTATGCAATTGAAATAAAATTTCGGTTTAATGTAGGAATCTACCTACCTTCAGGAATGTTAGCAACAACAATTCCAATAACGAATATAATAGTTTGAATAAAGGGATAGCCAAGAAACATGGTTGATATAGCAATGAACAAGCCAAGTCCTAAGGCCCAAATAGACATGTATCTCATGAAGCGGCGTATCTCACGAGAGAGAGGAGAGGGAGCCGGAGTCAGTCTCGCGGCCAGTCCGGCTACGCGACCCAAAGCTGTCAGGTCACCACAGCATATTACAACACCTAGAATATTAAGTATTATCAAACAAAGTACGATGTACCTACCTATCTTTTTCTTTGTATAGGTATGTTGTATTTTAAAATGGTTATAATGCTTCTAGAAGCTGCAAATTAATATCTATCTATCTACTATGTATATAGTGATAGCTGGATCTAGACTACTGCGTAGGTTGCTACTTAGTGTCATTCAGATTAGCAGACTTAGTCTCATAGTTCTGGTAGATTTCTTAACAGTTTACTTAACCTACCTAACGCCCACCCTTCAACGCATTGGGTCGAAAAGAAAGCAACATTCAGCGACTCATGTATGTTCGGATTTCCTTCAGTATTACTACGAGCTACAGCCACGGACTCGCCAGTTAACGAGGAGTTATCAACCTGCGAATAGATAACCTCTGTAGTCTGTCATTTGAACTGGCATAAAACACGTGTGGACACACGCATAATGTGCACGTGTGACGTATTACTTAATTGCAGAAAATGTGGTGATGCGTACTACCCCTATACTTATTATACTCTTTGATGCGTACTTTGAATCCCTTGCTTTCGATGATACGTATGTCAGCCGGCACGATATCACCCGCCTGAACGTGCACTATATCTCCCTTAACGATATCACTGACTGGAATCTCGTTGTTTAGGACACCATCCCTCACACAGTTGGCGTAAGTTGGTAACATGCTTTTAAATGTTTTCATTATCTGAAATGTAGTTTATGATGAAGTACTTACTGATATTATTTTACAAATATAGGTAGATCAGATCATGCATATATATGTTACCTACGTCAGTAGGTACCTACTTATGCAGTAGACACCGGATATGAAACAATCGCTGTAGTTTCCCTCAAACTCGTAACGTAGGTGGCTACAATTGGTCTTCATTTAGCTACTGTACCTATGTAGTTCAGATTACCTAGGAACCTACTCTATTATTCTAAGAATAGTTACTTACAAAGTGTCAATTAGGCAGTAGACAATCATAGTTACCTTGGAACTTTTATAATTGTGATAGAAACTGAAGAGCCCACATACGATGTCGACTGTAACTAGCACGCAGCTTAGATAAAGATTATCACGATTAGGGTCTGGTTTCGTTGACGATTCTATTATGTACGCTACGAAACACAATAGAGCTCCCAACCATATCAGTATGGAAAACCCTGTAAAAAGAAATTTGATGGATTAAGTAGGTGGCTACAATTGGTAAGTACCTACATGGCGAACATGTGTACTTTTTTTTAAGGGTGGAAAGTCATCCAATGACTTCTCCCGTCCGGGTGAGGCGAGTGGGAGGGTCTCTTACTGACTAAAAACCACTCCGATCCTACTCCTGCACTTCGAACCGGAGCCCCGGCAACCCGTTAAGCCCTCCGCGGCTCCTTGTCGGCATCAGCCCTATTGGGCCTCATCTGTGGTGGTCTGATGGCTCCTTGAGCACGCGCGGAACGCGACGCGCCGTACGCTCGGGCCTTGTTCTGATCGGACGGCGAGTTACCCGTGCTCGCCGGTTCCCATATTATTTATGGGAACTTACTTCATAATATTTATTTATGGGTTTATCTATCTATACCTAAGTTCCGCGCAGTAATCGAACCTATAAGCTATACTGCTATAATAACACAGCGATCACTCGCCTCACCTACCCATTGCCGGTGCAGTGGGTCGTAGTAGTGGTGTCCGTTGGTACCGGCCATAGAGCAATATTGCTCTATGGTACCGGCACGGTAATATTATCATATTATTATGTACTGTAGTAATAATTTATGTAGTACCGGCGACCATACAATGTAAAAAAAATTGTAGGTAACTGCTTCGCCTACTCGAATTTACTATACTATATCTACTATACTATACCTATAGATACTCGAATCTACTACGAATAAACGTTGTATGGACGTGGGCACCATACAACGTTTATTCGTAAGATGGAATACCTGTGCAAAGTGATTTTATTAAAACTTTAAGCCATCCATGTTCTGTAGCAGGTGTGAGCGTGTTTGGCCCATGGAAAGCTAGCAAAACTTGTGCCTTCTCTGTGGTCAATCCATTTACGGGATCAGTTTGCAGTTGCTCGTACAGTTCTTCTGGAAATCACAGTGGACCTTTGATACAAAAGCACCTACCTATATCTGCGGATCACACAATTAGTTGGTTCTGTCTGAGTGGGAATCGAACCCGCACAACGTTTCGTATTTTGCCGTAGCACTGATTGAGCATTCGAGCAGAATGTTATCGTGGAATTAGCAGGCTGAAGTTGCAGTGTTCTGATCACGTAGGTATTCTACATTCGACGCAGAATCTAAGATTGCTCAGATGATGTGTTTTGGAGCGGAAATCAGACACATTGGCATAATGCTGTTGGAGTGGAGGCATAACAGGAGAACATTTCAGATAAATCTGTTCAATACTGAAAATAGTATTCTGATTTTGGGATGATTAGAAGAATGTACCAATTAATATAATAGGTAGGTGTAATATTACTTAGATTTTTTTTTGTCATGACCTTTATTTGCTACTTATAATGGGCATTTTAGTTAAAGGATGAACGTACGTAACGGTATCAAATGCAAATCAGTACTAATTTCTTTCTTCAAAAGGTTTAGACGAGTGTTGCTCAAGTCTCTTGACCGTAGACCTTTCGGTGTGATTGGCCTGAAGAATTCAGATAGCGACGCAGTACTACTCGACGTTACTGACGACATGTTTTATGTTTTAGCACTTTCACTTCTGTGAACTGAAAATCTACATTTATACTAGGGCATGCCTACCTAGATAGATTTATTTTTGTATGCAATCTAGTTGGTTGGTGAAACTAGTTATCTAAAAGGATTCCAATCAATTACACCTACGCAATTGTATGTGGCTACATTTGTATTTGTTATGTAATTTGTCTTACTATTCATTGTTTATAAGAAATACCATAGAGGTATCACCTTAGTTTTGAACGTAATTTATTTTAGTTAAATAGTAGACTAGATATAGTTGAAAAGTATTTATCACTAAATGTTCTATGTATAAAACAAATTGAATGAATATACTTAAAAGTTACCAAAAATGAAAATATCTTTTTTATAAAAACATTTATTTCAGTTTTGCTTAAGAATATACAAAAAATACTTTCAGTACAATAGAAATGAACTAAGTGTACTAATAACTAACATAATCAAGCTCAAAAGATAAGATAATAATACTTGAACAATTTATAATAAATGGTGTAGGTAAGTATAAATTATAATCATTTAATGAATAAAATACAAAAGTATTAATATTTTTATAGTTTTTTGTCTTTACAGACAGTTAATAAATGCATTTTAATCAATGGTATGCTGGAATGCTGATATACATGAGACACAATATATTTTCTTTTATGTCTTATATCCCGACATTCAAGTGGTTAATGGAAATTATATTATTATGACATGATACAAATTGCACAAAAAGACATAAGTACTTTAGTTCTAGCAATTATTTAGTACAAATAATCCTATAGACATTCACAAAATATTCTCATGTCCCTGTGCTTAATTTGTTACTGTAAGAATACTCATAGTTTGCTTCTGTATCCTTTAGCCCAAATAATATTGAGTTCTTCCATTTCCTTTTCATTGGCTTGTAGGAGTTCTTCCCTGACTGTATCCCTCAACAGCTTCTTAGTGGCTGTGACACTGTACTTTGGGAGCTTTGACACTTCAGCTATTTTATCCCAAACCTTGCTTTGTAGCTCCTCTGGCTTATAAACATAGTTTATAAACCCATACTCTAATGCTTCTTTTGCAGGCATCTTGTAGTTACAGAGCAACATTTCCATTGCCTGGAATTGTATACAGGAAAGATTAGTATATGATCACATGTAGTTTTAATTTATTTATTTAGAATGGTTTTAATTACCTTTTTATCTCCTAGAATTCTCGGAAAAGTGAATGTTGAACATCCTTCAGCCACAATTCCCAACTTAGTGAAAGGAGTGTAGAAATATGACTGTAACATAATCATATAAATATTTTAAAAATGTGCACATACAATTTTAATTATCATTAAAAGAAGTAAATTGGTCAGTGAGTATCCTTAGTAGATAAATTAATTTGTACTTACATTTTCAGAGGCAAATACCAAATCACAAAGTGCTAATGTTGTAGCTGCAATACCAATGGCTGGCCCATTTACAACAGCAACCAGTATTTTTGGGAACATTATAAATGCTTTAATGTAGTCTTTAAGAACATTCAAGTGTTTGCCCGTGTCATCATTAGGGTCTGTTGGAGCTGAGAAGTCATTTCCACTACTATAAAAGTCTCCTGTTCCAGTGAGAACCATTACAGAAATAGAGTCATCTGTGGCAGCATCATTCAGTATGCTAATTACTCGGCGATACATCACTCCATCAATGGCATTCTTCTTCTTAGGCTTGTTATATTGAACAATTTTTATACCGCCTTGACTAGTCTCAATAATCGTCTCTTTGATGCTCATCTTGCACTGTCTGTTTCTTAATGTGCGTCTAAAGTACAAAGTACAGATATCAGGTTTTATGATTAGTTAATGCGCGTCCAAAGTACAAATAACAGTTTTTATTATTATTATCAGGTTCTCAAGGTTAAATGTAATTTTTTTAAATAAATATACAAGTCTTGCTGATTGTAGACCTTCTTATTAAATTCAAATACTCGAATTATTAATTGGTTTCATTAAGTAACTTGTACTTATGTTATAAAACCAGTAAATTGACAACAATTCCCAAGAATAAATAAAATATAAACAGTTTATTAGCTACTGACTTAGTAGGTATACATATTATACTCTTTGCTGATAACCGTCAAGTGTCAATATTGACATTTATCTGATAACGAGAACCACAAACCATTAAACATTTTAATCTGTTGAAAGTTGAAACACGGTTGATTGGGCTTTTTATGTTTATTAAAATTAAAAGAGAAAATCGTGCACCTCATAATAGTAAAATAATATGAGTGAAATTCAGTGAAATTACAAAAGAAACCCTTAGTTAAAATTGCGATACATCAAAAATCGGATCACGTCATGTCTGATTACCACTGCGAGGTTTTGACGTAATTCAAAATCGAGCAAACGTCAGTCAATGTAATGATGAAATGATAACGCAGGCTGACATTTTTGACCTAGCCTAGCCCTCTGTGAGCAAAAAGTTGGAATGATTAGATTTCTAAGCCAAATTCAAAGAATTAACAACTTTTGTTACAGTAACGTTATAGTGAGTAATCGAGTTAGAGGTTTTAGCACAAGTGACACTATGTTTAAGTCAGCAGTATTCAATCTTCAAGAAGCTTCTAAAGATCAAGTTCAAGAGTTCCTAAACTCATTTGATACAGTTTTAACAGATTGTGATGGTAAGATAATTTTTGTTATGTGAAGATTGTCTGACTCGTTAAGTGTGTATTTCATATTTGGTCTTACAAACAAGGAAAAAGGGAAAATAACTACTGTGTGATAGCAACGAATATAAATATTAGAATTTATTCTACAATAACATAACATCACGCTTTTTATCCCCGTAGAGATAGGCAGAGGTGCACATTACGGCACTTAATGCCACTGTACTATGTAACACCCACTTTTCACTATTTATGTTATAATTCCCATGTAACAGGGGGTGAACCTGTTGCCATATACCAGACACAATTCCAGACTCTGTGCTACTACTGAAATTTTTATAATACCCAGTATGTATACTGTACTACTATATACTAATACTTTTCTTAAAATGGGAATCGAACCCAAGATGCCTTGCTCGGCCGTCGCACTTGCGATCACTCGGCCAACGATACAGAGCTTATTCTACATTCTGTGTAATAACTTCTTAATACTTATCTGCTATAATTATTTTTTTAGGGGTATTATGGATTGATAACAATGCTATCTCAGGATCAGCAGATGCAATGAATTACTTCCGGAAATTGGGAAAAAAAATATTTTATGTAACAAACAATTCAACAAAAATTCGCAGCGAGTTTGCAAGTAAAGCAACTCAACTAGGCTTTATTGCAAGTCAGGTAAGGTGTTCATTAATTTTTATCTTAAACTAACTGATCTTGTGGAGTTTCACTCGGAGAACAACAAAATAACTACTAAAATAACTACTTATCGGCCCTGGAGACTATTGCAACCCCCCTCTTTTAAAGAGGAGACCTATAATCCAGCAGTGACCTGTTATGGGCTGTTGATGATGATTATGATAACCCCATATCTAATACTAATACAATTTCTACACTTTAGTGACCAATGGAACTCTTAAAATTATAGCATTATACAATTAGATGACCTAATTTTAAAATTGCCAAATATACTAATTATTCCAATATAAAACTATTGTTTAATTTTTTTAATAACTAGCTTCTGCCCGCGACTTTGTACGTGCAATCCCTTTTTCTCCCATTCCCATAAGAAAATCAGTCCAGCCATTCTCAAGTTATGGCGTGACAACGGGAAACAGGTTTCATTTTTTATATGTATAGATAGATAAGTGTAATTGTAACTGCCCAGTCTCCAAACGGATAAGATTTTCAAAGATATTATCTTACAATTTATTTTATTTCAGGAAGAGATATTGTCAACTGCTTACTTAGTAGCTCATTACCTAAAAGGTATAGGATTTACCAAAAAGGTATATTTACTGGGATCAAATGGCATTGGAGAGGAACTGAAAGCTGTGGGTGTTAGACATATTGGTGTAGGGGTAAGTAGTAAGATTGATTGATTGTAAAAAACTGTTTGATTTATTACTGACAGAATAAAGATACATATAAAAAATATGTGTGCGTCAGGATTGCTCCGCCAAGTTATCAAATCAGAAAATGGTTTCAGCCAAAAATTTGTCGATATTTGTCAAAATCGAAAGAAACAAACCCCGTATTTGTCAAAGCAGAAATAAAGAAGCTATAAGCGTTTTAAGTTGGCCGCGCAATCCTGACGTCAAGGACTGCGCGGCCACGGAGATCTCAGCAACTACTTGGGATAGAGAAATAATTCCTTTTGTCAACTCAAGTCTGTATTTGTCAAGATTTGTCGAAAAATGAATCAAAGCTCTATGTCAATATTATAATTAAATATTCGCCTTGAAAGTCATGGCCGCGCAGTCCTTGATTTGCTATTTTGTTTTTAGTATTTTTTTTATTAAAATTGAAGACTTCATATAGTATAGGAGTTAAAAGGAGAAAGGTCTTAATTTGTCGAAACTGACAAAAGCTTTAAAATACGACTAAAGTGTAATTAAACAGACGAAATCAATTTAAAACACAAAACTCGTGGCCGCGCAGTCCTGACGTTACTTTAAACCATGATATCTCAATAACTATAGTAGCTAGGATTTTGCTGTAGACGTCCATATAATCCTCATATTAACCCCATTAAAATTACATATCCTTTTACCCTCAACACTGTTTGGGACGCAAGTAATCTCAAGAATTATGTTACCCCATACAATGTTCTAGTAGAGTGACCATAATTTCGATTTGTTTTTAATCTTTGTCAAACTGGCTATGACAGCACAGTTCAAGGGCATTCTGTTCTGTTAGTCAAAAACTTAAATAAAATACTAAATAAGACGAAATAAAAAACTTGTTTAATATTTGAATATTTTTATTCATTGCACAAATATAAAGATTTCAAAAATCAACAAAATCATTATTCTTCAACTTTAAATGTTTTTCATCGGCTCTTACACCTCTACTAAAACATAAGTTAAAAAATGGATATATACAGAATCGTTTGTACTCTCTTCTAATTTACTCTTGTTATCGTCGTAACAAAGCATTCCGCTATTTCTTATAATATGACACTTATAATGCCCTATTGTTCCAAGTATTGGAGGAACATATTCTACGGCACCTAATAATTTATAAATGTTTTGTTTAATTATTATACTTTTAGGTACCTCATGTAAAAACACCATTTGCGTGCCATTTAAATCGAATGTAACAATTTTTGACAAGGTATAATGAAATAGAACTACTTCATTGCATTTTCTGCATTGCTTGTTTTCCCAATCATGAATAATAATAGAATCTTCCAAGTTACTGATGGTGAAAATATTAATTATATCTAAATTTAACGGTATAAACACATGTTTTCTTCTTGATGGGGTAGAATTTATGCATGCACTATTTGAACAGTTACTTACAGAAGAAGCACTAAAAATAATATCATTTAAGACGTGCTCATAAATAAATGCAGCGTTACATTCACAATCATAATGATTGTTTTTGAAATGTATCGAAGCAATTCTTATTCTTAATTTGTTTGCTTCTTCACTGTTATTATCAGAGTTACAGAGGATTACAGAATTCACTCCGAGAAGAGTAGAATATATTTAATTTACTCGTGAATAAAGAGTATTTATGTATACTCAATTTATTTGACAATAATCACAGAAATAACGATATAACAGCGTTATATTAACAGTGAAGAATCAAACAGATTAAGAATAAGAATTGCTTCGATATATTTTAAAATATATCATTATAATTGTGAATGTAACGCTGCATTTATTCTTGAGCACGTCTTCAATGATATTTTTTTTTAATGCTTCTACTGTAAGTAATTGTTAAAATAGTGTATATCTATTTATAACGTTATTTTAGATATAATTAACATTTCCACGAGCAGTAACTTGCAAGATTCTATTAATATAATTGTGTACATTTTGTTTATAATGTATAAGAATATCTAAATATTAAAAAAGTTTTTTTATCAGTTAACAATAGAAACCAGAACAGAAATGAGCTTAGACTGTATTGTCTTGAACTTATGGTCTTGAAATTATGGTCACTCTACTAGAACATTGTATGGGGTAACATAATTCTTGAGATTACTCGCGTCCCAAACAGTGTTGAGGGTAAAAGGATATGTAATTTTAATGGGGTTAATATGAGGATTATATGGACGTCTACAGCAAAATCCTAGCTACTATAGTTATTGAGATATCATGGTTTAAAGTAACGTCAGGACTGCGCGGCCACGAGTTTTGTGTTTTAAATTGATTTCGTCTGTTTAATTACACTTTAGTCGTATTTTAAAGCTTTTGTCAGTTTCGACAAATTAAGACCTTTCTCCTTTTAACTCCTATACTATATGAAGTCTTCAATTTTAATAAAAAAAATACTAAAAACAAAATAGCAAATCAAGGACTGCGCGGCCATGACTTTCAAGGCGAATATTTAATTATAATATTGACATAGAGCTTTGATTCATTTTTCGACAAATCTTGACAAATACAGACTTGAGTTGACAAAAGGAATTATTTCTCTATCCCAAGTAGTTGCTGAGATCTCCGTGGCCGCGCAGTCCTTGACGTCAGGATTGCGCGGCCAACTTAAAACGCTTATAGCTTCTTTATTTCTGCTTTGACAAATACGGGGTTTGTTTCTTTCGATTTTGACAAATATCGACAAATTTTTGGCTGAAACCATTTTCTGATTTGATAACTTGGCGGAGCAATCCTGACGCACACAAAAATATATCTTTACAGCCTGATCATGTGAAACCAGATTTCAAATCAATGCAGCCTTCGGAACTGGATCCTGAAGTTGGTGCTGTGGTGGTGGGTTTTGATGAACATGTCAGTTACCCAAAATTCATGAAGGCTGCCTCTTACCTTGCATCCGAACAATGTTTGTTCATAGCAACCAATACTGATGAGAGGTTTCCTAAAGCTGGCTCTATTGTTGTGCCTGGTACTGGCACTTTGGTAAGGGCAGTTGAGACATGTTCAGAAAGAAAAGCCCTTGTTCTTGGGAAGCCTCATAATTATGTGCGGAAGTATCTTGAATCATGCGGCTTAAATCCAGCCAGGACTTTGATGATTGGAGACAGGTAAACCTTACACTTGTTTTCACATGTTATGCTAAAACCTACTTATAATTTTTTATGTTATGAAGAAAATAAGTCCTTTAACAATTTTTTTATTCAATTACATAGACAGCTTTAATTTGTATGTATAATTAACAATTATGCCTTTGGAGTACAATTTAATAGTTGCATATGTACTACCATAAAACCTATCATTATGTAGTAGTCATAATGAAGTATTGTATGTGTAATATGTTATGATAGAAACCTCACACCATGATGTGTAAAAATTACATTTTAACAATATACATTCGTATTTACAGATGCAACACTGACATAGAACTGGGTGTCCGCTGCGGCTTCCAAACACTGCTGGTGCTCTCAGGTGTCACTTCACCCAAAGATCTGGAGAAACTGCGCAACGAAAAAACTCCGCCATTACCAGACGTTGTTTTACCGAAATTGGGAGATTTACTTTCCCTTGTATCATAGGGAAATTAAACAAATAGTAGCTTGACTATAGTAGAATGTTCAAATCATAGGTCAATTCTAAAGCAAGGGTAGTATTCATAAGCAGTGTAATCACTCCATGTATTACAAATCATTATACAAAATAGAAGAATATGCATTAGATAAGTACAACTATCAACTAGCGCAATGTGATGTTAATTTATTTTTTATTTATTTTAACATAATTTTACTTTGATATGGGTGTTCTTACTGTGTTTTATCTGACTGTGATTTTTTTATAATAGAACTAGGTAAATTTAAAGCCAAGTAATATTATTAGGCCCACCTACCCTAACTTATGTTTGTTCCTTCATATTACATTAATAATATAATCTTTACCTAACGATTCACTGTTGAATGTAGCCTTTAGCACCTTAGATCTTATTACCAGAAATGACAAAGGAAGTTGTCTCTGACTCTATTATTTTATACGTTTTACATTGTTTTTAGTATTGTTACTGTAATCACTGAATTTTCATTTTATATAGCCCTACAGAATAGTCTTCCGGTTCAATGAATTTTTGTATTCATATAATTATGGTACCCCTGTCTATCACTATACGATATGGGATTTCGACCTAAGGCTAAATTACTTTATCACACGCAATTTTAGTTATACAAGGTGTTGTTTTAAAGCCGCGTTATTTTCATAAATGTTTTTCATTTTTCTGTAAATTACGGAAATCCGTAAGAGCGAACTACACGCCGCCGTCTTGTAATTAATTTTGTAATGCGGCTTAACACACACAAACTCAAACACAAACACGTAATTGATGTTATTCCTAATTCCATAAAACTCCAATAAGAAACATTGCTGTCGCTTATTATGAAATACTGTCAAACTCAAACGATTCATTATAGCCGTATTTTTAACTATTGGTCCAAAACTTTCTTTTACATTGAACCTTTATGATTTCTATGATATGCCCCCGAGAAATGCCACGGTTTCAAAACTACACCTTGTATACTATTGGGATATCACGCATCTGTGATTGATTAGCGTTAGTCATTCAAATACTTGACTATGTATAATTGCTTACAGCATTGTATTCAATGTGAGACAGGATCAGTAGATCACACTGCACTGTTACTGTTTTATTTGTATAAGTAATACTAGAACTATAATTTTATTATAGGTACTTAATTCGGTAAAAGAAAGTCAAATTAGTATTTGTTATCTTCAATTGTGTAACTAAAATGTCACAACTACGAGTTTTGAGTTAATAACACTAACCTTAAAATCACTGCAATATTTTCGTTATTTTGTGACCTGCAATTTACATAATTTGTATCCTATTCGTGTTATCGCTTATTTGTATTTAGTAATGTCCTCTCCCCAACCCAAATAATGTGAAGCATTAAGATATTGAATAAGTGTTAAGGTCATTACGTAACAATAAATACTATAAGGGGATTATAATAACGTTATTTTACTAATAAGTACTTGTTACTATATTTTAAAACTGCTTTGTTGGCTCGTCACTGTATGTGTTCATTTGTATACAGAAAATAAAATAATATTTTATTACAGTTGTGGAATATATAACGTTGCTTTTAATAAAATATTTACATCGTTAAAGATCCTTTTATTTAGCTCACTTTTGTTATGAAAACGGTTATAGGTATGATAACGGTAAAAGGTAATTCCTTTTATAATTCTGTTATTGATAGGAAAATTTTCAAATGTACTTTTTTTATAAATTACTAGGTTCTGTCCTCGACTTCGTAGGTACGCACAATCCCGTTTTTTCCCGTTCCTGTTCGTGATATTCGATAAAAAGTAAAAAGAAGTATTGGATAAAACGTATGCTGTCTGTCTCCTGGTCCTAAGCTACCTCCCCACCAATTGTCATCCAAATCGACTTAGCCGTTTTTGAGTTATAAATAGTGTAACTAACACAACTTTCTTTTATATATATATAGATAAATAAATCATTAGAATACAAAATTACAAATAGTATTCTACTGATTTATATATTAATATTAACTATTCATGGAGGGAAAATTTATTAGTTACCTGGCTGTGTAGATTTTATTATTAGATTATTATAGGTAGGTACAGTACACAGATATTATTTTGTTTGTTATTCCGTAACTATCAAATAGAAATATAATTAATAATTATATAAAATTAAATATAGTTAATGCCAAATCTTCTAAAAGTTGGCAACGCACTTGTAACTCCTCTGGTGTTGTGGGTGTCCGAATCCATGCATGGATGTTCGGTTAGGTGGCACCGATTGCTTACACTGTCTGATCCAAATCCAGACCGGACCAAAGTAATCCGTCTGCTTGTTTGCATTCGTTAACTAACCTTACCTGCATATAAAGTAGATACCTTTATGATTATCATCATATCATTAGATTTTAGAAACTAGAATTCATTTGCTTAATGGGGCGTATTTTGCCCAAAATGAGGACTTGGCTAGGCGGCATAAGTACCTACTCCGAAGTCTTGGAACATTTTGCGGCGCATGCGTAGTATTGTATCGCAATTCGCCGCGCATCTCTGGGCTTGTCAACATTAGGTCCCCTCTATTTCGCGCCAGTATCGGTGCAGCCGCGATAGATACGCGCCGCTACGAAAAGCGCTCGCTCCGCACTCGCTAGTTAATGTGATCTCATTTATTTAACTCATATCCCGAAACATTGATGTGAGTCTACTATATTTATTTTTATACCTATTAGATCTTAGAGTACTAAATTCTTTCAAAATATTTACAGTGCTTATTATGTGTGAACAATCCGCCCGCAAAGATTTTCTCTTCGAAATCACGCATCAGCATATCCAAAAAAGCCCTGCTAATTTTATGTTCCCTTTATATTGATGCCTATGTACTATAATGTATTGAGCTACATAATAAGTACCTTTTATTAGGACATGCCCATAAATATGTATACGTTTTTATTAGCTATTGTGTGGGTTAAAGTTCTTATAGCTTTAGTAGAACGAAAGTCCATCTCGTCCCATTTGTTTTAGGAAAACAAAGAAAGCATTACGTTAGGGGTGACATTTCGGAATATGTTGAGGGGTTGTCTCTTGTTCTTAGTCTTCCCCTTCTTCGTCTAGCTAGCTACTGATTTAGAAACTTTAATTGAGTTTATTCAGGGACGTAGGTGTTTGATTCAACGATCTTGCACAATTTTCTCCATAGGCTTCTATATTTAGATTGATCACGGAAATGTGTTCGTCTATCCATCAATCACAACTAAAATATTTCCATTGCTCTTGCATCACGTTTATATATATTTGACTGTATTTAATACAACTCTGATAACTGTAATAAGTGATTAGACACTGAAGTTTCCTGACGATAAACACTATCTGAAGTATCGACGCACTCAAAATAATTCATCGCCGTGCAATTATGGTGATAAGAGACAACAGTCACGGTAGTTGGTACAACCTTCGACAAATTAAATAACGTTACTAGTTTGGTAATCACTAAATAAGTTATATAGGTAACTTAGTGCTTACGTAGTTCCATAAACAACACTGTCACAATAGATTATCGTACCCAGGTACCTACTATCAATGGGGATTAAGTTAACGTTAACTAAATGTGTACATAACTATGAGTTAACATAACGTTAATTACGAACTACGAAACTAGTACCTAGGTACCTACCAGGTGCTGACATGCTCGTTTGCCGTTGCACTTTTTAGGCACCTAAGTAGTTGCTAATGATTGCATTAATTTGCGATTTGATTAGAGTAGGTAATAAATAGTCATGTTTATGTCAGTGATAAGATAATATCTAAATTTGTATTGTAGAAAGATAAATAAGTAGCTACTTATACCTAATAATAAATACTTTTAGTAATAAATATACAATAGAAAATAGTTTGAGTTTGGTACTTCTATCTACGTTTTATATGGATGGTAACATAATATCTATTGTCTAAAAATCTTTCTATGTTAAACGATTTCTAAATGCAAATATCTCGGCCTGAAGTGTCCACTCTCCAAGTCTCCATAGAGAGAGACTATAGATGTGTTGCTGACTTTACAACGAAGCCAAGCCGTTGTTAAAAGCCTGTTTCAAGTTTATGTTAAGAGATGATATCATCTATCAATACCAAGTTGTGGTAGGAAATACGCATTGATATTTACTTAGATGCTATTTATATATTTAAATAGATATTAAAGAAGTAGGTAGGTGCCCATTTATTTTTCTTTATGTATATCTAGGTACCTACCTAATGCATAAATCTGGGTTAATCAGCTGGTCAAAGAGTACCTACCTACTTACCTAGGTCGACTACACATTACTCTTACCTTTATTATCTCTTAACTCGTCGAGTACCGGTTTTATAGACACAATTAAAGAACAATAGGTCGCGGTCACCGGTGACCGCTTGGTGTTTGACAGTTTAATACTATGTGTACAGAACCTGTTGGTATACCTATTTAAATAAATAAATTCCTTCTTTCATAAATAATTTCCTTTACCACTGAGTGAGACACCTTTGTTGTACGACCAACCGGGGTGTCTTATTGTGTTTATAGTATAGAGGGACACCAAAAGAAGTACTTGGGTTGATGTGAACATTCACAATCAGTTGGGGTTGAGTTAACAGCAAGTGAAATATAAAGCTACCCTCCATCGAACCACATGCGTATTACTTGGTTGCGCAACTTGGTTGTATCATCTAATCTAGGCTACCACGATGTCCTAACGAAATATGGCTCTAAATTAAACTAAATATGTTTCCAAACCCACAGTTCAGTTTTGAACCACTAAAACGTGAAAACAGTTTCGTCTTGTATGTTTAGTTTGTTTTCAGGGTACCTACCCAAGTGAGCTAACAATGAGCGTCAACATAGTCTTATGCATCACAGTATCTACGTAACAGTCTTAGTAACAGTCTAACAGATTCATATGATATAGGTGTATTATGTTCACGTAGCTCTACTTATTTAGCATGTTCAGTTTATGGAAACAATGGCTGGCGAGAGACGTTTAGCGCCTATTGTGAT